CGTGTGTCTGTGTGTGTGTGTGTGTGTGTCTGTGTGTGCGTGTCTGTGTGTGTGTGTGTGTGTGTGTGTGTGTGCGTGCATGTGTCTGTGCGTGTGTGTGTGTGTGTGTGTGCGTTCAGTTTTGACATCACTACGTGGCCACCTATAAACATCATCACTTACTACACACAAACAGCAGCATCAAAACACACAATGGAATTTAAGAATTAATTAACATCAGCACAGCTGCTGATACACACTGTGTGTTTTATAGATTGTGTGCATGTGTGTGATATCAAATTATCATTGTATGCACACAGTGTAGTTATTTCTTATTAATATAATGAGTATTTTTAAATATTATGCATCTCAGTGGGTCTGTCAGTGGAATAGAGAAAATAGACAGAAATAGAGACAAACATTGAAAGTGTGAACTTTGGCTTCTTTACGTTAGCTGTGAAAGCTTTGTCCCTGCATTTGCCTCTCTTCTCAGGGTCCAGCACCCGCGGACTTTCTCTAAGTGCAGTATCACCGATTTTAAAGAGTTCCTGTTGAAGGGAGGAGGATCCTGTCTCTTTAACAAACCCAGCAAGGTCAGACATCACCATTAGCATCCCCTTCATCAGTATTCATTCAAGATTCAGAATGAGAAAGTACAAGGTTTTTTTCCTTGTGCTTATAATCAAAGCTAGCCAGGTTTACACGTCCACGACAGGAGTCAAGTCTCTTCCTCTCTCAAAAAAATGTGTTTCTTCCATAGATGAACAGTCTGTATCTAATTTTTTGCCCCTGAGGAAAAGAAGTACACTTCATTTAAAAAAAAAAAAGAGTACATACATTGAAAAAAAAATTGTATGCAAATAATATACTTTAAAAGAACATACTTGAGTGCAAATGGAATATAATGAATGTAATGTTTCAGACACTTGAATGAAAATGAAAATATATTATAGCTGAAATTGATTTTAAATGCAATTAGTTGAATTTTAGTGTTTTTAACCCACTTAAGTAGGATGTACATCTTTATATGTAATTTCATATTTACTTCTATTGTCTTTGAAATATGTTTGCATATGTAATTTCATATTTACTTCTATTGCCTTTGAAATAAGTGCACTGCATAATGCACTGACAATCATATACTGTATGAAAAACTAAAATATAATGTCATTTCTATTGAAACTTGTCATGTTTTTAAATATATTTGTAATTACACATTTGTAATGATGAAGCTGCAATTAAGTACATTTAAAATGTAATATTGAATAATACAGTTAAAATTATAATACAGTACTTTACATGTGCTTTAGTATGTTGGTCAACACATCAAAATAAGTTTGCTTAACATGCAAATGACAAAAGATTGTTACAACATATTGATTTAAAATGTACTAGTTAAACAAAGTGTACTTAAGTGTTAAGAAACAGTCAAACAGGCTCTCTTTAAGTACACTTAAGTGACGTTTTATTTCATTAATATTATATTATCTACAAATACAGTTGATTTTTTTACTTTAAGTACACTAGAAGTGCACATTCAATGCAATTAAGTGCATTTCTTTTTCACAAGAGTGGACATGCATGTTACTCTTAGTTGTTTTAAACTGTAATATTGGCTCAATCCGGTTGTGGCAATCAGGTTAATGTGTCTACATGCCTAATCCAAATATGACCTAAACCGAATATGAATTTTAATTAATAGTGGAATATTCTTGTACCTTTTTTTAACCATATCTATTTCGCGAAATCATATTTAGTTAATAGATAATGCCTTTATGTGACTCCATCCTCCCAAATGCCTTTAGCTGTACCTGAGTACATCTGCTGAAAGTTCATATCACATCTGTTTGCAAATCTCTTCATCAAGACTGTGATGCCTGTTTTTGCATGCGTGTCCTGCAGCTGTTTGAAGACACCGAGTGTGGAAATGGATATGTGGAAGTGGGAGAAGAGTGTGACTGTGGACCAAGAGAAGTGAGTTCACGTGATACACTAGACAGCACTCAAATAACCTCTGTGTTTTACACATCAATATTAAACATGCCTACAGTATTCAGCTGTGTGTGTGTGTGTGTGTGTGTGTGTGTGTGTGTTATACACAGTACACACACATATATTATGTAAACAAAAACTTTTGGATGCGATTCATTTCAAAAATCAAAAGGTGAATGTGAGAACTGTCTCTCTTTCTTTCTCTCTCTGTCTCAGTTCTATCCTCGAGGTTACTCGTGCCGCTATGCAGTAAATGACTGTGATATTTCAGAGATGTGCTCAGGAGACTCAGGGCTGGTCAGTGGCATACAGTATCAGCACTACTTCAAACACATATAATGGTCTGATTATCCATTTTTTTATTGAATCTTTCTTTATGTGTGTGTGCGTGTGTGTGCGTGTGTGTGTGTGTGTGTGTGTGTGTGTGTGTGTGCAGTGCCCTCTCAATCTACACAAGCAGGACGGTTACTTCTGCTCCCTCAACCAGGTACACACACATAAAAACATAACCGCTACAGTGCCAGTTTACTCTGAAAAATGCCATATTTAATGCATATCTACAAGCTATCAGTTCATTATTCATAAACTGATTATAATAGAAGCTATTAAAGCTGCTAGTCCACTGAAACATGATGATGATGATATCATTTATTAGTAATAAGGGTTTTTGTAAATGGCCAATGACAGAACAGTATCTACAGCAGAAAGCAGAGATCCTCTCAAGATCTTAAAGCCTTTCTGATGAAAACGCTTATGCTTGAATGCTAGAAATTAGTTTTGTAGCCAAATGCGAGTACATAAATCAAAATTTTGGTACAAAATTAGCTTTTTTAAAGATATTACATGATGAGTACATTATACAGGGTTATTTATTTATTTGTTTGTTTGGTCAATACATAATTCACCTGCTTCCGTAATTTAATCGCTTTGATGACTTATTCTACTATTACTCTATTGGAAATAATAATGGTAGAAATGTAATAAATTGATGAAAAAGTAAATGAATAAAATTTAAATGCATTTATCAGTAGTAAAAAAACCGTAGTAGCTAGTTGTGTTCATTTACTGTATAAAATTGATAATTAGACTAAATACGTTCTCAGAAAATTACATTAGCCCGTAATAGTTAGCATATTTTGGTCAAGCAGGCACTGTTATTAGTATTGATAATCTTAAAAAGGCCAGTAATTGGCTGATTAATTTGCCTGATTGATATCTCGATATCTTTTTCACTATTAATTAGTGAGATTGTGATGTCTTTTCAGGGTCGCTGCTATGCTGGAGAGTGCAAGACGAGAGACAGTCAGTGTAAATATGTGTGGGGACCAAGTGAGTGACCATTTCCTGTCGTCATTAACAGCCAATCAGCAGTCTGCTCCGCTATCAACTGCATATACACTTTATTTTGCAACACAGACGTGGTGTATTTTCCACAGAGCCCCTAAGGGAAAAAGTGATGGCGGAAAAAATATATTTCAGTGCTTTGCATTTTCTCATATTCTCATAAAACTTTTGCGTTCATCCCCATGACATGTAAAGTTTCTCAGGGGAATGCAAAGGTTTTGAGGGAAGAAAGCAAAGATTATTGGGGGAGCTTTTGCAAGAGAATTAAAAAGCATTTAAATAAACTTTGTTCTCCATCTCATTTTTGTTGCATTAGCATGAACGTAACAAATACAACTTTGCAGCATCAAACGGCATAAAGGACTATTTTTTGTGCATCTAACATAACTGGAAACGAATGACACCTGAAGCCTCGCACATTCAAGTTACAAATGGCCACACCCAGGCTGTGTCCAAAATCGCCCCCTATACCCTTAAATAGGGCACTATTTGAGGGAACAGCCATTTTTAGTGGTGTCCGAAACCATAGTGGACGTTCTCGAGTGCACTCATTCAATCCCACAATGCACTGCAAAAACGAGTGTACAACTGGTGCACGCTCAACGGCTAGAGAATGCCCATAATGCACCGTGAGAGTCACGCGCCGAATGAATTCCCGCATCTCGCCAGAAGATGGCGCCCGCAGCTGAATAATCAATCCGTTCATTTTTACAAAGCGCTCATCCATGGCGTACAGCATAATGTACAACACGGGTATAAATTCATTGTAAATTGATTATTAAATTGTTTGATTAGGGTTTATGCGTAATTTCCGTGACAGAGTTCAAGATAAATCCTTTAATCTTACTACTGGAGCTGCTAGTTTGCTAGTTTCAAATGATTAATAAACAGCAAGCACAAACCGTGCAAAAGCGGCATTCCTTCCGGTGCACTCAGTGTCCGAATTCACTACTTGTTTTCATTCACTCCTTCTAGTGAACTGAATTAGTGACCTAATGTAGGGAATAGTGAATGAGGGTATAGGGGGCGATTTCGGACACAGCCCCACTCTTATAATAGAAATAAAGCGAACACTGTAAACTACCAGTAGTTAAGCTAATGTATATATCCTTAGGTCTCACCTTTATTTCCCACTTGTCTGTTTTCATTCAGAGGCCGCGAGTTCGGAGAAGTTCTGTTATGAGAAGCTGAACACAGAGGGCTCAGAGAAGGGCAACTGCGGTCAAGACGGAGACAAATGGATCCAGTGCAGTAAGCAGTGAGTTACAAAGCATGCAAAACTCAACACTTCAATGCTAGGGCACTGTGGGCAGTTGCTTACAGGCCCACGTCAAAAAAAATCCCACCAATCACTATGATATTGGGATCTAGATAGGTCTCATTGTCTTGCGGATTTTTCACCCTTTTTACCAAAAAAAAATCATCTGATTGCTTAGACAAGTAATGGCACATCTCTCCTCAAACTGCATTATATGAAGTATAATTCACTTCTGCAGCACAAGCAGCAGAGCAAACACTCTAAAGTTTATGGTTACTGGTTAAAATGGCTACAAATAACAAATTAGAGCTTAAACCAATGTCTGAGACCTTTTTAAAACTTTAGCTTTGTAGCACGTGCTTTCCATTTGGAATCTGTGTATGTCCTGGGTGTGTGTGTAGGAATAAGCTCAGGAAGATGCAGATGAACGTAAGAGCGAGACAAAAGAACTCACATGCAGGGAATAACATGCGCTTTTCCATAAATGAGAACCAACAAACACAGAGGGAAAACTCAGGGACCAAACAAAGGAGCCGATGAGATAATTAACAACACAGGTGGAACCAAATGAACTAATCAGAACTCAGGCAAACTAGGTCACAGAGAGCAAAAAAGCACAAAACAGACAGACATGTTAGTTACAGTGTACTGCTAAGTACAACTAGTAATAAAACAGGACTTAGACTTTGAAGTGATGCTGTCAGATGCTAATGCTACACAACTCTACAGATCACGGTGCTCATTTTAAAGGGATAGTTCACCCAAAAATGAAAATTCTGTCATTAATTACTCACCCTCATGAAGACCTTCATTCATCTTCATCTTCGGAACACAAATGAAGATATTTTTGATGAAATCCGAGAGCTTTCTGATCCTGCATAGACAAACTACCACGTTCAAGGTCTAGAAAGGTGGTAAGGGCATCATTAAAATAGTCCATGTGACATCGGTAACTGTAATGTTATGAAGCTATGAGAATACTTTTTTGTGCGCAAAGAAAACAAAAATAACGACTTTATTCGCTTCATAACATTATGGTTGAACCGCTGATGTCACATGGACTATTTTAATGATGTCCTTACTAACGTAACTTTCTTAATTTGTGTTCTGAAGATGAATGAAGGTCTTACGGGTTTGGAACGACGTGAGGGTGAGTAATTAATGACAGAATTTTCATTTTTGGGTGAACTATCCCTTTAAATAACAATCATTGTTTCTGTCTGTACATTTCATATATTTTGTGTTGAACTGATGAGTAAAGGTGCAGAAGAAAGACAAACAGCTTAAATGTTTATGATCATCGTCAAATGTTTTAACATTCATTCTTGACAGGTTTCATGCATAATTTAAGATGTTTGTTGTTACACTTTACTTTTGAAAATGTGTAGATATTATGTAACTAAACATATCTACTTTGTGTTTTGAATTGATTTATTTGTTCTATAGAAAACTGAAACCAAGTATAGATAACATGATTGGTAATATCTATTTTTATGGAAACACAAACATCTTTTTTTTTTGTATTTGTTAACACTGTTATATGCATATTTCTTTCTTTCTGGTAAAAGCTAGCATTGTCATTATAATAAAATCAACTGATGTGTTGTTCAGGGTTAGACAGTCTTTAGGAAGCTGAATCCAACAGTAGGCTTATCAAATATTGTGAATGTGTTGAAAATGTTTTTTTTATTTTTTATTAATGCTTAAACAGACAATACAAAAGGAACATAGTCAAGGGATCACATACAAATCCAGAAAATAATGACCAATAATAATGACCACATACACATTAATAGTAACTTAAATACTGTTACAAGCAAACAAAACAAAACAAAAAAAGGAAAAAAAACACAGAGTGTGAATGACATTACAGAGACATTACAATGAAATAAAAAACAATTACATACAAGGAAAGCATCTAAAAGCATGCATTTTCTTTAAATACTTCTGTATAATATTTCAGAAATCGTAGGGATTTTTTATTCTTTATAAGATGAAGAGATTTTAGAAGTGAGTTTAATTCAATTTTAAGACATTTGTGACCCTGCCTGTGAAAACCCAGCTAAAGTCATTTTTTTGTGATTTACTGTTTTCTACATAAAATCATCCTTTATAAAGATGTAGAACATTCTGTGATCTTTATTATTGACTGAGTAAGGCCATGTCAAAGATTAAAATCATAGTGAAATTAATGGTTGAAATCAAACTTTGATGCTTGTTATCTCATAATTAGATTTTGAGACTTTAGCCTGGATTTCACAGACAGGGTCACATTTCATTCTTAAATCTAATTTTTCACAGACCCTCTTGTGGCCCCTGGGGATGTTCTGGAGTCACTGTGATTTTTGTGCTGTCTCTATTGCAGTGATGTATTTTGTGGATATCTGCTGTGCACTAACACTGGCCGAATCCCACGGATTGGAACTATAAAAGGAGAAGTCACTCCCACAAATTTCAACCATCAGGGCAGACTGATCGACTGCAGGTGAGACACACAGGGACACATTTATAATGCTGATTATCATGTATGATATGCTGGCAGATCTGAACACACACACACACACTGTTTTCTCAGTGGTGGTCACGTCTTGCTGGATGATCAGACTGATCTCGGGTATGTCGAGGATGGAACTCCATGCGGTCCGTCTATGATGTGTCTGGACAGGAAATGTCTCCCTCTTCAGTATCTGAACCTGAGCTCCTGTCCCACCGGACCCAACGAGCACGTCTGTTCCAGTCACGGGGTGAGACAAACCTGACTGCACACACTGAATACATGCCATATTGAGGTTTACTCGCTTATTCTGTATGAGCATCCATTTCTCATTATGCTATTATGATAAGTATTTTTTGGCCATTCTAAATTTAAACAGGTGTGCAATAATGAGGCGGCATGTACATGTGACACAACGTGGGCGGGGACAGATTGCAGTATGCCTGATCCTCCAAAAGAACCACCCCCTGCTGAAGATGAGGGACCCAAGGGTTTGTGGCTTTAGTGCTCTGGCACTAACACAGATACAAACACATACAGAGAGAGGGGAGCTTCTTCATAAAACACCAGAAGAGATTGGTGAAATCTCTTGATATTTTGAGTGGATTTTTGTGAATGATTTACACACACATTCATTATATACACGCTTCATGAATGAGGCTCAGACGTTCAGAAGTTTTGGGTGGTAGGATTTTTGTCTTTGAATGAAGTCTCTTATGCTCACCAAGGCTGCATGTAATTCGTCACAAATACAGTAAAAACGAATATAATTTAAAATGAATGTTTTCTATTTTAATATATTTTAAAATGCAATTTATTCCTTTGATCAAAGCTGAATTTTCAGCAGCTTTACTCCAGTCTTCAGGGTCACATGATCCTTCAGAAATCATTCTAATATGCTGATTGCAACCTGGTCTCATGGCGAAAACGTACCTCTGGGTAATACATATCAATAAGTAGGCTACATATCACTGCAGTTTTCAACAGAAATGAACACTAGAGGCAGTAAAACATCTAGCTTTTTTAATTGTTTTTGTGCACAGTTATGATAACAGCTCCATATGTTTCACTTTCCGGATGTAACAAGCTTGCTTGTTTTTAAAGGGGTCATATGATGCTGCTAAAAAGAACCTTCTATAAAGAATATCTCTTTGGATTTGAGACTTTAGTCTTTGCAACTTTACAGATCTTCTTTATGCACCAAGAGCTTGTAACACTCCAAAGAGAAAGGAAAAATTGAAATCGCATCATATGACCCCTTTAAGTAACTCTTGCTTTCAGTTTCAGTTCATACTATCAGGTAGGTTTAGGTGTAGTGCAGATGGTACGTTATTTTAAAACGTCAAGGAGCATTAGACTTGCAGCGCCATTCAATGGACATTTCAAGTCAGAACTGAGGTGACGCATACAAAACCAACATTACATAAAACGTACCATAGGTACGTTCATCTGTTCCGGGGAAAAAAAACGAACACTCTGTTTTAGCGGCACCCAGTGGACATTTCACATCGAATATGTCGCGAAACGTACGTGACGGTACGTATTTCGTGTCTTGTGAAAAATTACCAAGAGGTACATTTTCGTCATGAGACCAGGTATGCTCATGAAACATTTTAGAACAATGTTGAAAGCAGTTGTCCTGCTTAATTTTTTTCTTCTGTAAAGCATGATACATTTTTCATGATTTTCTGATGAATAGACAGCTCAATAGAAGAAGCATTTATTTGAAATCGAAATCTTTTGTAAAGACCCATTCACACCAAGAACACTAACTATAATGATAACAATATTAGCGTCTGCAATTGATGACAATGCTCTGTTTATTATAAGAGTGTGCCGCAGTTTTGTCTCCCGCCACTTTAAATGCTCAAGGGCTTGATTGATTTCAGCAATATTGTTTTATCATGGAAATGTGTGGACTCCAATCGAATTAGAACGGTTATTACAGTTTTCTAGTTATAGTTATCATCCTTGGTGTGAACAATGTCTTTACTGTCACATTTTTTGATCAATTTAAAGCAGCGTTCCTGAATAAAGTATTAATTTCTTTAAAAAAAGACTTTTGAACACTAAAGTAATATAATTGTTAATTTTAGCTGTTTTTTGTCCACTGCAGTGAAACTTTATTTCGAATATAATAGTAAATACACAGTTCCTAAAATCACAAAGGGAGGATGAAAACAAATGAGTATATCAATGTAGATTTTTTTTTTTTAAATCTCTTTATTTAATCTTTATTTATTGATAACATCTTTAACAATGTGGTGCAGTCCAGAACTCATTTCTGGTAACTTTTTCCATCTCATATTGGCTTAGATGAGATTTTTTTGTCAGCATGTGAAATGATCGAACACAGTTTATTACTTCGTTTTCACATGCAGGCTGAATACCTGTATGGAAATCTCAAACTTTTAAAGGTGGAATAAAAATGCTAGATCTTGTAAAGACACTATTGGTTTTGCTGGAACAGAAATTTTGAGTTCTAGCGAATCAAAGCTCATGTCCCATTTTCCCCACACTTGCCCAAACAGGTCCTAGTGCCACCAATCTCATCATAGGGTCGATCGCAGGGGCCATCCTGGTGACAGCTATAGTCCTGGGTGGGACGGGCTGGGGGTTTAAGTAAGCACCGGTCTGCATGTCTCTTCGCTCTAACTACAGGCAACACTATACCTGCAGCTTACACTCAGCACGGTCTGGGTTTCTACTGCAGACGCTGTACCAGGACAGAAACGCTCTACAGTACTGGTCTGCGAGAGTCACTGCAGCAGAAACTCAAACCAGCTTGAAGGGCCCAGCTGAAATGCTACCCTGCATGTTAGAATGACACACAACCTCCGCAAGCCTCACAGACACAAGCCGGAGAGGCTGAATCTATATGGTGCAGAAAATGTTTGGGAATAGATAGAAGTTTAGAATCAACTGAAGCTGACAGCTTTAAAACGTTCAGACAATAGTTTAGTGAATTGTATTCAATGGTCTGTGCAATTAAATGTACAGTTAATTTGCAATAATTTATGGACTCAAACATAACAAAAACTCATCTTACACAATCTTACCGCATTAGCAGCTGTTCTGTTATACATAAGCCATCTGCCATGCTGGTACAGTCAAAGCCAGTGTTTAAACATGTGAGAGCAAGTCTGAGTCTGCAACCTAGTAATTACTGAATTAATTACACTGAACAAAATTATAAACGCAACACTTTTGTTTTTGATTGTGGCCAGCCTTAGGCACACCTGTGCAATAATCATGCTGTCTAATCAGCATCTTGATATGCCACACCTGTGAGGTGGATGGATTATCTCGGCAAAGGAGAAGTGCTCACTAACACAGATTTAGACAGATTTGTGAACAATATTTGAGAGAAATAGGCCTTTTGTGTACATAGAAAAAGTCTTATATCTTTCAGTTAAGCTCATGAAAAATGGGGGCAAAAACAAAAGTGTCGCGTTTATAATTTTGTTCAGTGTATATACATAACAACTGAAATAAATATAAGAATATATGAAAACGAATATACTATACTGTAAGATTATACTTTACTGCAAACTGAATTCAGTGTTTACAGACACTTAATAGCATGTTAATTGCAATTAAATTAAAATGTATTAGTTTTAAATTCATATTAAATACAATTAGCTAACCCTTAGAGTGCTTTTTTCACCCACTTAAGTACATTATTACTTCTGTTATATTTTATATATATTTAAAGTACTGCTGAATATACTGATAACCATTTATGGTAAACTAAAATATACTTTAATGTAATTTCTACTGAAACGTCTATGTAATAAATATGTATTGTAATTACACATTTGTAATGATCAGTACATTTCAAATTAACTTTTGATGTAATGATTCAATTACAATCAAGTGCTTTACATTTGCTTTAGTATGTTAGGCATCAAAATAAGTGTACTTCTTTAAAGCATGACAAAAGATTATTAAAACAATTATTTAAAATGTACTTTAAAACTTTTAATTTGACTGCATTTTTTTAAAGATTATGAAGAAATATAGTCATACGTAAGTGGCCTTTTATTTATTTCATGAATATTATATTATCTGCAAATACTGTATTTTACAAATATATTTTTAGGATTTGAAGTACACTAAAGTGCACATTCAATACAAATAAATGCACTTCTTTTTCACAAGGGATCCTGTGCAATTTTCGAAAATTGCTTTTTAATGTGACTGATGAACAGCATCTGAAATGTTGACCGTTCCAAGACTGTGGACGCTTGGAGGTGTCTGGAGCAGTCTAATGCGGTATCTAGTATAGATATCTATGCATACGTTTTGACTGGTTTCTTAACCTTCTACAATGAACTGTTTTAAAGGGCTTTTTCACCCCAAAATGAAAATCCTGTCAGCATTTACTCACCCTCTTGTTGTATGATTTCTTTCATCTGTGAAGCACAAGCAGATGTCTAGCAGAATGCCAGAGTGCTCTTTCCTACACAGTGAAGATTGTGTAGAACCTTTTAGTGATTTGATTACAATCCTTTACCTTATGATTGAGATGCATCCAATGTGACATTGGGTCACATTTCAGATGGGTTCAGTTATCAGACGTGAAAGTAACTGGAGGGACAGTTTGCACTATGTAGACAAAATTATAAATCAGACTTAATATTCGCAGTTTCAGAATTTGAGTTTTGGATCATTATTGCTTGATGGGGAAAAAAGAAAGTCATCCAGGTTTGGAGGATGAGTAAATGATGACTGAATTTTCTTTTTTGAGTGAGCTATTTTTTAAGTGCAGTAAGTGTGTTGGCGTAAGTAACAAGAGGAGTGTGGCGAGACACCATCATAACCCTTCCACTCTCTTTCAGTCCTGTGTAAACTCAAGAGGCCTTTGTGACATGACATGTGCTCTTCACTTCCTGTCTCCTTGCGGAGGTGCTGGCTGGCAAACACACCTGGTACAGACAGCTCTCACTGGCACTGGTCTGCATGACAACATCCAGAAATGCTGGCATTTCACTCTCTCTCACAGTTATCCCATCTGCACGGGGGTGTGCAGGAAACGCATCATTTCATGATCAATGATGTCATCTGAAGGGCCGTTCACACTGACAGCGGTTCACTCTAATTTGCAGTAAAGCTAGATGTTTCTGCGTTGACTGTATCAGAGGTGGATCATGTTCGATTTACTCCCTTTGATAGTTGGGTCTATGACATGGCGCTCATTTGTTTGTCCAGATCTATAAATAAATATATTCAAAAATACAATGAATGCAATTCATACATACATTGACTTAAATACACATTTTCTACGATGAGCGTGTTTTTAATTAATTTTAAATTTCTTGGCATGAGTAAAAAATGTCAGCAACTGTTCTGATAAAAATTGAATTATCTACCCCATCATGACGGTAAAACCTACATGCGGTGGGGGGGGCAGGAAATGATATCATAGAAAGAACCCTTGCAGACCCTAATAACTGTTCAGTGTCAGTAAGTCTGGGAAAATATCAGATAAGTTAACCTTTTTTATGTCAAGGCAAGGATAGCTCATGTTGTAAAATGTCATGCGGTGCAACCGGAAAAAAAAAAAACATAAAGACATTTATTTACTTTTTAAAAACAGCATAATGGTTATTGCAATGTATGCACTCACATGTATTCAAAGTGTGAGGAAAATGTTTTATCACTTAAATTTCCATTAGTTAACGTTAAAGCATTGGTGATATTAACTAACAATGAGCAATACCATAACAGTTACTTATCAACTATTTGATAGTTAATAAAAACACATTTTCTCAATATTAGTTTGTGTTAACCCAGGTCCATTAATTCATATTAACAGATACAACTTGTTTAATTTCACATGAACTAAGATTAATAATGCTATAGCCTATGTGTATATTTCATTGTTAGTCCATGATTGATAATGTATTTAACATTTTAATGTTAACAAATGTTAACTAAATTACTTTTTACTTGATAATTACAGCACGTAATATTATGGAGTCAATCAATTTTAAACTAAATTAAAGTCAAGTCAAGTGAGCTTTATTGTCATTCCGCCATATGTGGAGACATACAAAGGAACGAACTGTCATGCCTCAAATTACCACGGTGCTACACATGTAAACATATATGAACAAACATTGACATATACACAGAAGGCATAGAAAGGTATCCAAACATATAACCTATGTAGTTATAGTTGTGCCTTCTTGGTGTAGTCTTGGACACTTGTTATATCATTACTCATGCCTCTTAAAATCTTCAAGTCTCATGAAAATTTCGGATTTCAAGTTGCATAATTGCTGTCAGTGTGAACGCCCTTAAGACCTACACCCCATCAACAGATCACATGTTCACTGAGTGTGGTCTGTTCTTCTCGAAGCAGTCCATTTCCACTGAAATAGCCCATTGCCAGACAATCGCCCTTGTCCTTGTCCGCTGACGTAAGGCATGGCGACAGTGCTGTTCTCTTAGTGAAGATCGTTCTGCTTCAGTTCCACAGTGTGTTAACAACAGATGCAGAGCATGTGTAGAATTTAATTTCGCTTATTTGAATACCGTGGAGCTGAAACAGAGTCTCAGTTATGATGATTAGTGTTTTGATTCCCAATAAATTTTCTCTTTCCTCTTCTTCCAAACAACAAGGAACGTCAAACGGCGAGGATACGATCCAAGTGCATCTGCCATCTAGTGGACAGAAGGAACGCTCCGACCTCCAGAGCTTCTCTATTCAGCTGGGCTGCTGTTTTTGCTGCTCTTTTCTGGCATTAGTTATACTTGAAAATGTTACACATAATAGTAAAGAATTCAACCAACAACACCTTAGTTATGTAGCTCCACCCCCTTTTATAAGCTCCACCGTCTCTCACTGAGCCATCTTTATTGACATATCTCCCTCTACCCTAGCAGCCAATCAGATCATTCTTACATTACAGACGCATGACATCACAACAGCCTGGCCTTGAAGGTTTCGCATGGCTAATGCCCATATTCAGCAGAATACAGCATAACAACCTTTGAAGAGCATAAATATTACCCACACAATCTCAGACCCCCTTTCATTTCTTGATAGCTAATTTGACGGAAGTAATTGATAGCTGCATGGCTTAGCCTTAGAGAGACATGTTGAGTTGAATTTATGGGATAGATTTAATTCTACATATAAATGACCAGAGACATCTATGGGGAATAGCTCATGCAAAAATGACAATTCTGTCATTTAGTTTATACTTTCATGTTTTTCCAATACTGTGTGACTTTCTTTCTTCAGTGGAACACTAAAGATGTCAAGTATAATATTTTGGCAACTCTACGCCAATGACGACAAGGTCTAGTAATGTCAAAAACAAAAAAAGCAGCACGAAACTAACATAGTATATATATCAACAAGCAATTTGTCTATACCAGACGCGACACGGCTACATGACGCGACAAAATTGATCGAAAAGCCAATCAGAAGAGTGTGTGGGTGGGCTTTCTCTCTGGATAAGTATATCGTCTATTTTAACCTATATATTAAACTAATTTATCATTATTCCAAATATATAATGAGTAATTAATACAACCTTTTTATAAAATGCGCTTGTTTGAATACACAGATTTCACAGTTCGAACATTCTTGATTCCTTTTATTTTCAAGATCGGAGGCAAAATATCCTGTCACTTTTAGTATTAAAGTTCACACTAATATATTTCAGAAATCTCGCCACAGAAAAAAACTGCATGTCATGTGACTTACCCAAAGCACATCATTGGCTAAACTAATGTATTCTCTTTCCAACAAAAAAAACGAGAATGTTCTCTTAAAGAGACAGTGGCAAGGAAATGAACACAAAGACCATGTTGCCATATGGCCACACCATGCGTTAGAGGGTTAATTGTTCTTTGGCTCTGCGCTGATGGTCTGAGGCATAACTGCAGTTTTCCTAATAACCTGTCCTGTGTATATTGGCAAAATTACGGCGCACCACACCTGACATGGGGAATCAAAAATAGATATTGTGGCTATGAATTAAGAATTAATTCCCACAATTTATTAGTTTGTGGCCATATTTTATTAATTGGTTCCCTCATTTAGTTACATCGTTTAGAACATTTTAATTTAGTTCGGTCGTGGTCAAGAGGGAATGAATTAATACGTTGTGGTTACAAATTCTTAATTTGTGTTTCCACCATACAAAATAACTTCGTTTTAGAAAAAAGTCAAAAGGGTAAATGATGACAGAATTTTCATTTTTGGGTGAATTATCTCTTTAAGGTGAATTCTAATATAATTTTACTCTTTCTAATTAAATATTTTTGTTGCCTTGTGCTTTGATATTTTTTTACGGAGCGCATTTAGTGCCCATTTTTACAAATGTTTGTGACTAAACTTGCATTTTTAGCAAACGTTTATTCAAAATATGTTATTATAACAATGTTAATTTGATATAAATGCTGTATGTTTAATTGTGTGTGTGTGTCTGGCATACTGTGTATTGATTTGTCTGTTATTTGTTAGTCTTTTGCTCTGACATGGGGCTGTGAGTGAACACATCTATAGATGCTGTACCTCAACACCCACGTTGAATGAGATGGTGACTCTAAGCCAAAGATCTAAAGTAAAAATGTAAGTTTGGGATGTTAAATACAGCACTTTACTGTGATATTGTTTCCCCTGATTGGGTGAGGTAGTGTTATCGTAACTGATCACCTGAAACACATGCAATAACCTGATCAGTCCTACCTTGTTTCATCTGTTTAACTTTGCCACTCAATTGTAATTGTACAGATGGTCAGATTTTCGAGACATATTATTCAGACCCTATTATATGGCCTTTCTCATTATCCATCTCCCTCAGCTGTCAGGGCTGCTAACCCTACTGGAAACGATTGCTTTGCTGCATGAATTTACTATAGTGGGCTTATTACTCTGTAAGTATGAATTATGAGTGCCCGACCCCATAGGAATATGTATATCACAGAGACTGTGCTGTGCTGTTTGTGCATGTCAGCTACAAAACTTTTATTTACTATGCAAACAAATTTGTTGCACAAAGTGAAGGGTTAAAACAGTAAAATACCACACTGACGTATCACAGCTGACCCTGTTTTTTAGCCATATGATAGTTATGCTGAGCTTCAGGAAAAATAACATTTTGTTGCTTATTATCCTTTAATAAAAAGGAATGAATGTATTGTCTTTTTGTTAAAAAAGCAACTCATTTTGCAGAATTGCAATAATTCCCAGGTTATTTTCACATTTAAGGTTTCAGGATCAATTTTGGACACTCGCCTTTTATATTTTTTTCTGTTTTTCATCAGCACTGTTTATTAACCTAAATATTCCTCTATTTACCTGCTGCTGTTACTCTGAACTGTAAGAAAGTCATCGAAATAAACAATAAAATCAACAGTATTTTACACCTCTGCCTGTAGTTTCTCATGTTTATTTAACCTGGGTATTGTAAGTATTTTAAGTAAAGTATGAAAACAGAATATTACAGTATTGTACAGTATTGACTTGAACATTTTAGCAGAAGCATTATTAGTTTAGAGGCTTTGTCTCATGTGAGACATTATTTAAAATATATTTTTATAAGTCGTGTTCAGTTGTTTATGTGTAAAACATTTTAAGACACCATGCTCACTTTGTGTGGTTTTTGAAACATCAACTTTTAAGTTAGCCTACTTTCATTATATAGACTGATGGTCTTGTTTAACTAAAAAAAGTTTTTAAAAGTTTTGTTTATCTGAAGAAAGAAAGTCGTCTGGATAATCTAGATAACGTTTTTTCTTCCACTATTTCCACTGCCTGCAAAAGCCATGCAATGTGAGTATTTCCATTTGGCAAAGTGAGAAGTAAGGGACCGTGGAGAAAGTGCAAATTATTCTTCTACTTCTTCTCCTTTTTTGCTTGAGCCAGTATAAACGTTTATTTTTAATTTTGCTTTTTTTTTTATTTATTCTTCATTTACTTTCAATCTGTAGTCATTTCTGTTCCATATTTGAATATAATGACATGGGAAGCAACATAAATTGGGCAATTTTAAATGTGGCAGTTGTGTTAACTGTGAATTCACAAAAAAATGTCAAGCTTTTTCATCATCCTATTTTTATTAGGCGTTCATAACAGGGAAGACAAATAATCTGATTTATATAATTCAATGTCTATGTAACAAAATTTATGTTGGTGAAACATCTTGTTCATTAAAAGAAAGGATCACAGAACACAGAAGCGCAATAAATAGACAGGATTTAAAGAGTCCTTTTGCAAGACATTTTTGCTAATGTAACCATAAAATATCATCTTTTTTCTTTCTTGGAATTAAAAAGGTTAAACAGAATAAAAGAGGTGGTAATATTGACTGTATAGGAAAGAAGCGGGAAGCTTTTTGTATCTTTTATTTGAAAAGTCTGTTTCCAAAAGGTGTGAATGAGGATTTTTCTCTTCAAGACTTTTTGTGATGGTGCTTTTAAGTGTTGTATGACTCCCTTATTCATGTGTAAAATAGGTTAATCTGATGTGGCTGCACTCTGATTGGGTGATTGTAACTGTTGGATAGTTAACTCTAATTAATTAGTGTGATGTCTTGAGTTAAGATGGTCAGCTGTTGCTAATTTGTGCACTGGTAATCCAGTAAGGAGATGTGTTTTTAAATGTCGGTGTATGACGTGTGTTGGATACCCTGAAGAAGGCTCTTAGGTCAAAACATGCTGGTATTTTTTTGAGAACAAATTATTTACTATCAGTTCTTTTTATGGCACTTGTGTTTTCATTAATGCGGAATCTACGTTTTTCTCCGACATACTGAAGGCAAGAAGATATGACATTTGCACAACATCAAGAAAGGAAATGATTCTGATTTCAAATGACTGTTTTTGAATGACTCACAATCTTACTGACAAACAATATCTGCACGGGGAAAAAAGCCAGCTGTTTTTGAATGTTTCTCAGATGTGCAATTTCAGCATGTACCTGAAAAGCCTGAAAAAACTATCACCGATCTAAAAAAAATATTAAGCAGCACAACTGTTTCCAACAGTGATTATGAATCAGCATCTTATAATGATTTCTGAAGGATCATGTGACACTGAAGTCTGGAGTAATGATGCTTTGCTTCACAGGAATAAATTAGGCCTATATTTTAAAGTATATTAAAACAAAACTTATTTTAAATTGCAATATTTCACAAAATTACTTGTTTCTGTATTTTTGATTAAATAAATGCAGCCTTGATGAGCATAAGAAAGTATATAGTAGCCTACAGTGTTGGGGAGTAACTAGTTACATGTAACGGAATTACGTAATTTAATTACAAAATAAATGTAATTGTAATTAGTTACAGTTACTGAGAAAAAAATAGTAATTAAATTACAGTTACTTTTGAAAATGTTAATGATTACAAAGGGGGTTACATTTGATTTATTTCACACACACACACACACACCCACATACAGATTTAATTGACTTCTTTCCTAAATTGCATTGACTGCTCTAAAATAAGACAAATTTTTCAGGATTTTTTGTTATTATTTTAAATCTGTATTTAACCTCAGAATGATCTCAAAGTAAATAAGAGGTGTTGAGTCTGATTTTGTGGTGGCTGTGCTTTAAATTAAATTATTACACGGCTCTGTGGATTGCTTGATTCTGATTGGTCAACCGTGATATTCCAAGGTTATTCCCCAATAACAACTGGTAAAAGCGAATAACACAGACTCATCCGGGTAACTTAAGTCGGC